GATTTCTGAAGCATAGTTTGACACTGAAGACTGGTGTAATGATGCCGAAAATTCAGCTTTTCCATTGCAGGAATAAATTACATTTAAAAATAATATTAAAATAGAAAACAGTTATTTTCAATTGTAATTATATTGCATAGTTGTACTGTTTTTACTGTATTTTTGATCAAATTAATGCAGCCTCGGTGAGCTTAAAGGGTAAGTTCACCCAAAAATGAAAATTCTGTCAGTAATTACTCACCCTCATGTTGTTCCAACCCTGTAAGACCTTCGTTCATCTTCGGAACACGAATAAAGATATTTTTGATGAAATCTGAGAGCTGGATCACTCCTCCATACTAGTCCATAGGCTTCTTCAGGGATTGAACTTGCCGGCCTCGAAAAGTTATTAAAGACATCGTTAAAATAGTCCAAGTGACTACAGTGGCTCAATCTTAAGTTTATCAAGCGACGAGAATACTTTTTGTGCGCAAAAAACAACAAAAATAACGACTTTATTTCAACTATTCATTTCCTTCTCTGTGGGCCTCGAGTCAGTTCACTAGTGTAATAGCGTAAGCTTCTGTTGTTGTACGTCACACGCATCACGCACATGACCAGCGTCGGCCAATAGTGAGCCTACGTGTGACGTAGCTCTACGGAATCACACTACGTTAACTGACTAGAGGCCCAAAGAGAAGGACATGAATAGTTGAAATAAAGTCGTTATTTTTGTTTGTTTTTGCGCACAAAAAGTATTCTCGTCGCTTGATAAACTTAAGATTGAGCCACTGTAGTCACTTGGACTATTTTAACGATGTCTTTAATAACTTTTCGAGGCCGGCAAGTTCAATCCCTGAAGAAGCCTATGGACTAGTATGGAGGAGTGATCCAGCTCTCAGATTTCATCAAAAATATCTTTATTCGTGTTCCAAAGATGAACGAAGGTCTTACGGGGTTGGAACAACATGAGGGTGAGCAATTACTGACAGAATTTTCATTTTTGGGTGAACTAACCCTTTAAGAGACTAAACCATTATTAAAATGAACCACCCTTAGAATGAAATGAACTTTTGAATAGTATAGTGTATATACTTAAAATTAATATCTCTGTTCATGGGAGAGTTTTTGTCCAGAAAGTATCCCCCTTTTTTGCTGATTGCTGATGGGGGGATTGCGTATTTGCGCCTTGTGCAGTTCGAGCCCGCCGACACAAATGCAAACATATGTGACGGTCTGTGTCGAATCCGATCACTTTGACATTAGTCTTTGGAGATCATTAGCTGGTGTTGGGCCAATTACATTCTTTGCATACTGAACTAATCTGTAGCTCTGCTGTCGAGGATCCTCACCATTAGTGTGTTTGCTTATCCATTTCCTTCCCTCCCTCCAATTAACATGTCCCTCACTCTGGGTTTGTTCTGCCGGTGTGTGTTGCTGTGACGCCTGTCCATCACCCTGAGTCCCTCTGAAAGAACACTTTAAAAGTGAGAACAATGCTGCCACCTCTCAATCACCGCTGAGTGGTATTGGTACTCAAATGAGTGTTCTTCCCTGGGGTGTGTTTTGTCTTGCTGGGTTTTTTTTTGGCCTGATCTGTGATGAATCTTGACTGTAAGCGGGGCTGTCGCATGTTACCGTGGCGAAGGGTGAGGCGAGACAGGCATCCGGCGTCATCGATGACGCGGTTGAAAGCAAGGCAGATTGACAAGCGCTGGGTTCCAGTACGGGGAGTCTCTCATCCACCACTCTACCCCTCCTGCGCTCTTCTCTAGGCCCTCTGGAAGAGCCATCAGGCCCCAGAGGCTCCCAGCAGGTTGCCTACTCCCTGCAGCCAGGCACAGGGCCTGCCTGCCCTCCTCTTAACCCCAGGAGCATCGACCGCCATCCCAACCACTGCAGGGGTCCTCTGGCCCAGCCCCCTGCTCTTCTCTCTCTCTCTCTCTTCTGCTTTTTCTTTCCCTCCTTCTTTGACTTTATATCTTCTTTTTTTTCTGTCTTAACTAAAGCTCTGACACTTGTTCTTTGCCTCTCAGACCCCCAGCGCTCTCATTTTCTCTCTCTCTTATTCTCTTCTCTCGTAAAGCCACTTGGGATTCTTGCCACTGGATATGACAAATAAGTTATGGAAAACATTACTTGATCTGGGTTTTCTTGCAAAAAAAAAGTGCATTTGTGTACAATGCAAAAATAACCCACCTAAAATGTATTTTAAAAAAGCATGTAAAAGACAAAAAAATCTAAAGAACTTAATTACAAATCCATAAATATAGTTTTTTATTATTATTTTAATTTTGCAATGTAAAAAAAAATATTTTTAGCACAACCTTAAAGAGATAGTTCACCCAAAATTACAAATTCTGCAATCATGTACTCACAATAGTACAGTTTTGGTGTCCATTGACTTCCATTGTATGGAGAAAAAATATATTTTTATATTCAACAGAAGGGAGAAAGTCATACAAGTTTGGAACAACATGAGGGTGAGTAAATTATGCTTCTTTTTTTCTTCTTTTTTTGTGGACTATCCCTTTAAGCTGTATCTATATTTCTTTTTACATATTGTTCTCATTTAAAAAAAAAAATACTTTGGAAATGTACAAGTAACAATGACAGAAAAAACAAATTGTACAACTGCCATCAAGTCTAAAAAAATGTCAGTTATTCCAGTAATTCCACTCTGGCACCTTGCCCACATCAGACATGGTTGTCAACACTTCAGGAGAGCTATGTGCTTTCCAGGAGTGCCATTCCACCCTCCACATATCTGCCTCTCTCTCTCTCTTTCCTTTCTCTCTCTTTCTTTTACAGATCCAACCCATCAAAAGAGATACATTTTTAAGAGCCAAATCATTTTTTAGAAAGGTTTGGTTATATGAAACTAATCAAAAGTGTAATTTTTTCCAGTGAATATTTAATCTAAGAAGATAGCTATCGACCAAATTGTTGGCAGAGGCCTTCCATTAGGGACATTTCAAATTCAATTTAGAATGAATTAGCATCATCCTCTGCAGCTTTAATAGTGATTACTGCATTGAAAAGTCTCCAATGAAATCCATGCTACACTTAAGAGGGATATTATGAGATATTTATTATAAATCCTTCTGCAAAAGTGCATGGTTTTTCCTTTAGCTCTGTGCTTGTATTTAGGTGTTTTTGAACAAATGTGTGCAGCAGGTTGACAGCAGCTCATCCTCCGATTAGTCATCTTGCAGTTGATTAGGCAATGAGCAACAGACAGTTAGACACGAAGTTAACTAGGAGCCCAGCTCTGCCTCAGGCCATGCTAAAGTACTCAGCCATGGAATGAGATGGTTGACTTTTCAATGCTCCATTAATATTGGTCCACTTAAACACCAAGCCTAATGTATACAAGAAAAGAAAGAAAGAAAACATGTCATGTCCCAAGACACCAGAAGAAAGCATGAGGAAGTGTCTCCATTAAAAGCAGATATATGAGTCTTACTGCACAGATCAATTGCTCATCTCATTTCCACAAATTAACATGAAAACATAACCACAGAGAATTGTTGATGGGCATAAAGGATATACACATATGATATAAGGCTGTATTCTTACTGTTAAGACACATTTCAGGCATTAAAAGTGACATTATAGAGCTTATCAATAAAATGCATCTTTATAGAACAACATTTTGTCTGTGTATTTTCGATGTGTGTAAGATTAATATAAATAGAATCTCTTGTGGAATGTCAAAATTATTTTTATATGGGAGAGCAGGGTGTTGTAACATCTCTAACTCAAAATTTCATATTATCCCATATTTGTCTGCTATAAATTAAAGAGTCAAATATTGGAAACAAATATAGAAATACATCAAAAGTAGCCTAACAACCCTAAAACGTAATAAACAGCATGTGTGAATGTTAGTTCACAATTGTTACTCCCTGGTCGACCTTAACCAATTTATAAAATAGGCCTATATATTTTAAGTGTAGCCTATCTTACACCTGCAAAAGTTTTGAGTGGCGCCCTCCTGTGGTACAAAGTACTGTTGCACTGGATACTTCACAGCTCATATTCCTCAAATTAGTGCTTAGTGGAGAGTTTTGCACAAGTCAATTTAGTATTCACATAAAGAGAGTGTGTTTGTGGTGCAGCGCACAAAAAAAATACGAGCACTCTAATAGCTATCATGCCATTTGTTGGTAGCATCTAATTATTTGTTGATTAAACAAGTTTCACTTGTAGTTAGGCTATTCATCCTTTTATCTTCAACATTTCATTTGACGGGCGTGGGCTATAAGGTATTTAACCATTTAAAAACCCGCGAATAAGGGGCGACCTCTTTTGAGTGATGGTGGGCCATCAGAATTTACTCTGATGTAGGTTTTTGAAAAGTAACATAATGGAGGGTGGGGTTGACTTATTTTGACGTTTAATTAGTCCAGATTAGAAATAGATTGATCGACTTAATCTTTGCTTGACTAAACGCCCTTTCTGTACATTGTTCGCACATCTCAAATTGACAGACGTTTTTTTAAAAGCATTTTAAGAATAAATAGTTAACATTAAATACATTAAAACTAAGTTGTAACTTAGTACTAGTCTGTGCGTGATTTAGTAGCAATCGAGTATAACATGAAATAACATATCAGAGGCGTACCATTAAATGACAGATTCTTATACAGACTTTTGTGTGAGTTTAAAGAGCATTGTCAGTGCATGACAAGAAATGGGACACTTCACACCTGTGTTATCCTTCTGATGTTTTAAGGATTTTTCTTTTGAGAAAAAAAAACGCTAATCGTCTGTAATCCTTTTAATATGTCTCACACTTTCTTTTTGCAATACACAAGTCAGCAGCAAACCAGTTCTGCTGTCTGCTGCATTGCACAATAGCCTCGGTTTCAGTTTTGAAATCAGAATTAACTCATTTTTACTTGATGCTTGATTATTGAAGATTTGAATGATCATTTCTATTTTTATTTTTTAATTAGGTCTATTTTTTTAATGTCCTGCGTAAAGTCGTGTGCTGATTAGCTATAAATAACCTTACATTTGATTACTCACCAAATATATGAATGTCCTTTAAACTCCTCCGAGTGCTTATGGGCTCAGGTGAAGGCATATTTAAAATTGGTTCGGGGTGGGGGTTTGGGTGAGACCCCCCTGCTTTTGTTCTATTGAAAAGGGGGCTTGTTCCTCCAGGACCAACCCTACCATTTTAACCAGGGGTGTCAGCGCAAGCGGGGTTGACATTGGAGACTGACTGGCAATGGTAGAAGAGGAGGGGATAAGAGAGTCCAGCAGCACTGCTTCTTGAAGAAAGCTCATCAGATGCACTGTCCTGCCTCCTCTGACTGACATTCACGCAGGAGTCAGGCTGGATGATCAAACGTCAAAGGATCTATTTCTGCTGCGCTCCTCACCTTCATGGACAGACAGCACGGGACTTCTTGAGTCTGTAGCCTATGATTAGATGCATCAGAATCTCTTTCGCTCAAACTTGAAAAGTAAATCGTTTACATGCTGTGAGTTTTTGCGTTAAGTGCACTTATTTGTTATTCTCGTTCTTATGAAGGAAATCCAATTAGGGCTTTTACTTGTCAGTGGTCTCAGTCTGAAAAAAAATCTGGACCTTTTTTTCTGCTTCTGAGCAGCAGATCTCGTAATTTGCCAGTTGATCTGTTCATCATATGTTGCGAGTCACAGTTTGGATACTAGCGCAGGACTTTACACATTTTAACTGGAAAACCTGATAAATAAATAAAAAAAATCTCTGCAAATTACGCACAATTTTTTTCCCGAGGCCCTTCCCGTCCAGCAACATGAGACTCATGCCATCACGATTGAGTTATCTGTAAGTATATTACCTTTTAAATTTTGTTTTCACGCATTAACAGCTTTGCTTTCCAAAGACTAATGTAAGATTTGCTCTCTTGCAGATTCCTTCACCTCTTTGCGTTTTGCTACTATGCTCAGGTATGTGCAACATCTTCACATATGCTTATTTACTGTCATTTTATTAGATGCTTTAAGCTTGTTTTGTTTTTTTAGTTGTTGTTTTTTTTTTTAGAAAAACTGTAAAGCATCATTACTCTTATATATTGATTCTATTTTGAGACACTGTAATGTCAGAATGCTTCAGCACGCGCTCCTAAATTAAGATTTATATATTTATTTAGTATATATATCCCGTTGTTTTGCAAAGACGTGCACGTATAGCCGTTAAATTAAAAGGCACTAAAAGTGCGACGGGAGAGGATGTTCTTATCAGATGGGTATCACAGTGGGCGCTGTAACCTGGCAGGTAACACTAACATACTGGCACATGCGCGTGGGCATGAGCGCGTGAAGTACGCCAGCCTCGAGTCAGTGAAGAAACATGTCGTATAGGGACATAATAACATAAAAAGCTCAATTTATGCGTTCAGGGCAATTTGACTTAAAATGTATGCAATCATACATTTAGCGCACATATAACACTTAGCGCATCTTTTTTTATTCTAAATTTTAAAAAGAAAATTCTTGAAAATGATTAGGTTACGGATAGTACCTTTTCTCATTTCGATTGCATTATTTTAAATGATTAGCCTATATGAAGGGGAGTATAATTGATAGGCCCGTATGAACGAATGATGAAGCAATTTGTGCAGGTATTGATTATATGGTATTTAATTTCTGACAGGTAACCATTCAGTCCCCGCCTAATTTTACACAGCATGTGAGTGAGCAAAGTAAGGTGACGGACCGGGTCAGCCGTAGACTAATCCGGACCTACCAGCTTTACAGTCGAACCAGTGGCAAGCACGTGCAAGTTCTGGCCAACAAGAAAATCAACGCCATGGCCGAAGATGGTGACGCTCATGGTAAGAGCATCCTCCTTATTTATCTCATACACAATCATGAATCCATTTGTGGAGTTTTGAGGAATGATTTTAAATATGTTTTTCATGGAAATATTTAGCTTATTTTACTTCAGTGGTCCTGGTTCCATTTTACTCCAGTAGCTGTATAGGGTGTTGAGTTCACTGTATGGATCCTTGGAGATAATTATATATATATATATATATATATATATATATATATATATATATATATATATATATATATATATATATATAAAATACACACACACACACACACACATTTCATTGTAGGTTCTTATGTTTCAATGTGTCCAAAGCCCCAATACATAGATGTTTTCTGAAGAACTATAGGATAAAAAAGGTCTTTGTGAAACCAGGCTGTAAATGTCCTTTTTGGTTAAAACTGGAACTTTATTTGTGCTTCTTTATTTTGTGAATCTTTATAATACACTGCACTTGAATTGTTGGGCATCTGGTCAGTTGGTGAAGTTAAAAAAGCAGTGGAGCGCAAAAAAATGTTAAATGGATTGTAGATTGTTGAAGGTGAGTCTCTAGAGAGACGCACGGGTCTGGAAGAGCCATTAGAACTCATCTTACTTCAACCTTCTGAACATTTCCTGAAGAACGTTCCCCTCCTCTCCCGACCAGCTCAGGATGAAAATATGTCTAGCCGAATTCTGACCCTCGCGCTTTCTTTCTACGGTCATTCGGTCCTGTTGACAGATCTCATAGAGCCTAAAGACCCTAAATAACTGTTTTAAAGATTTCTAGAATCAAATTTTAAGATTAACACGTGTCTTTGGTTTTATAAAATAATACATCAGTGATTACCTCTTCTATGAGTTTAATAAGAAAATGTAGGCTATGTAATGGTTTGAAAATGTCCTCACAAAAATATATTAATGGAATTAAAAGAATTAATTTCTGTTACATATTTAATTTGTCACTTCAGTTAAATCAAATCTGTTTTATTTGTACCCATCTCTTATGTGGTTTCGCCACATAAAAACCCAATCATTTCCAGCTCTGTTGTGGTATTTTTGGAAGGCTGGCTCTAGCCCTGCATGGTTTTGGTGACATCCATGTCACCTGAGCATGTTGTAGAGACAGCAGGGCTGTTAGTTCGGGCCAGTGCCTGGCTCCGGCTCTGGGCTTGTGGTTCTACACCAGCAGGTTATCTGACCCCCTCCATTTGAACCGTAGCTCTTTACGATCACTCAGAGTACGGGGGCAGAATCTGAGAATGGCTGCAAGTGCTAATTCTTGGCATGGAGAATATATATCATGGAAGGGCAATGTCCCAAGCAAATGCTACTCTGATTTTCTTCTAACTGTAAACCTTTACATTTTTTGTACTTTTTCAAAATGGCGCATTTAACTAAAATATTTCACATTTCTTTATTGTTTATTTGTTGGTACGTGGATGACATGTGATTACAGATCATCACATATTGTTTATATGTACTTACATAAAAGGTAAAAAGTTGAAAGTCCTGCCAGGAAGTCTTTGGTTCCTTCCAGAAGAATTGAAGTGCACATGTTTTTATCATTCTGCTAGAATTTAAGCTTACATAAATCCTAAAGAGTAGTCCCTCTGGATTTCACATATTTATGCCCGTATGTGTATCTCTATGTGCATTTGTGCATGTGTGTTTACTCATGAAATGTTCCTATTTAGACTTGAAGTCACATCATCTAAAAAATATATTCTTTTCTTTTCTTTACAGCCAAGCTCATAGTGGAGACGGACACATTTGGGAGTCGAGTTCGAATTAAAGGAGCTGAAACAGGCTTCTACATCTGTATGAACAGGAGGGGGAAACTGATTGGGAAGGTATGAGAAAAATTCATAATATAATAATTTTGTGACTGATCAATTATGGTCAGTTTACATATTGTATTATATACACACACAGCATATGTTTCAGTTATTTTTGGTGAATGAAAATGAGAAGAAATCATACCTAGGGAGAGAAAGACCAGATAAATTAGAAATTCAGAAACGCCTCTCATATAGTCATGTAGTAGTTTATAGCATTCAATTGCTTGTGGACATCCCTGTTAGTATCATTATCAAGGAGATCGTTCAAACAATCAATCAAACAAAAGTTTTATATTTGTATCTGTTATTGGGCACCAGACGTTTCCTGGTTGCAGTAGGTAAAATCGAGTGTGAAGAATGGGATCTTTCTTCCTTTTTTAGCTGGCTACTCTTGTTCCAATGTGGATTTGTGCCTTCTCCTTGCTGTGAATGGTAATAAAGTGGGATGGAGGTTCGGCCCCCACCTCCCAGCACCCTGCCAGGTGGACCATCTGCTTGGCACCCCTGATCTTATGCTATCTGACATATTGGCCGCCCAACGACAGCCTGCATGAGAGAGGGTTTTTTTTTTTCTGTTGTTGTTTTTTATTGGTTGATATGCAAGTCTTTTTTCGGTTTTGGATTCTAGATTTTTAACAGGCCATTTTGTTAAGAGGCTGGGGAAAGGTTTGGACTCCTGGTTTGGCTCCTTACCCCATTTACATTTACTGCCCAGATAATGTTTAAAGGTCCTGTTGTTATGAACGTAAAATGATGCGATGCCTATATTACAGCCATCTATACCATATATTATACATTCTTGAAAATAAACATTCTAAAAGGGAGTTTTAGAACATCTAAAGAACCATTTATGCAATGGAAAGGTTTCCATGGATGTGAAAGGTTCTTTAAGGAACCATAGATGCCAATATGAACCTTTATATCTTTTTTTGAGTGTAGTTCATCTAATTTGTCCTGGAGAAAGTAAAATATTACTGTAACGTTCTAGGCTCCTTTTATGCCTTTATAATGAACATTAGAAGAACTATTTTTCTCAGAGGAAGAATCCGCACCGGTGTTTACTGAAAGGGGAAAGTCATTGGTTTTTGCTGTCATTTCTCTCTCTTGATCTTGGATCGTAATGACTTAAGCATATGCTGTGTGTGCGTTTGGGGAACCCCTATGTAAACTGGAGCAGACGTTTTCCAAAATACTTTTCGATAAGCTTCATATTTCCCATCAATCAGGAGCTCAAATTTTGTCTTTGTCTTGTCCTCACAGAGAAACGGTCTGGGGAAAGACTGCATTTTCACAGAGATAGTCCTGGAGAACAACTATACAGCTCTACAGAATGTGAAGTACGAAGGCTGGTACATGGCCTTCACACGCAAAGGTAGACCCCGCAAGGGCTCCAAAACCAGGCAACACCAGCGGGAAGTCCACTTCATGAAGAGGCTGCCCAAGGGACACCAAATCGCAGAGCACAGACCCTTTGATTTCATCAACTACCCTTTCAACAGACGGACTAAACGCACCCGCTACTCAGGAGAGCGTTGAAGAGTGAAGCCGGAGAAAAGGAGAGGACAGAGAGCGAGAGACTTTCTCAAACAATGAACAGAACTCCTCTTGTGGACTCCTAAACCATTTTTTTGTACTGAGCAACAATATACCTAACATTTAGTTTTTTATGAATTTTCAGAAATAACAAAAAATAAGGAAAAAAAAAACATCTCAAGAAAAAAAAGAGATCTATTTTTGTACCCCTGACTTTTAGTACTGACCTATGTAAGAGTATAGAAAAGCAAAGCACGGGACGAGTGAGTGCTGACATTTTAGTAGTGCGTGGGCTTCATCCGTCCTTCCGCTCTTGGTTTCATTTGATTTCTATGGTTTTTAGAGTAACTTATAACTCTTCGTATTGCTGCTCAAGGGGACTTGAAGGGCCTGAGAGAATGCACTGACAACACAAGGCTGTATTCGGTTACACAGGCAGCCGGGGCACCTCTCGACCACCCAGCGATAAGATACCCAAGCTCATCTCTCAGTAACCTCTCTGGTTCTTGATTCTGGAACTCTCTGGAGATAAACACGGTTAAAGCAAACAGAGCTTTAAATGCATATTTAAATGTGGCAGCTACATTTTGATTATCGCAGGTTTCCGACCGTGGTTTAAACTGTAAATTCCATGGTGTGTAAATGCATTGTACGAACTGTAGGAAAAGCTTTTGTTATTTGTTGCATTTTGTTTGTCTGTTTTTTTATACAAATATAAATATATTTTTATTTGAGGATGTGTAAAATAATTTTAATGATGGAAATATTTATTTAAAAACCTGTAATAAATTTACCTTAGGATACTGACGTCTCTTGCATTTTTGCTTAATGCACTATTCAAAATTTGTTTGAACATTTTTGAAAATCCTTATGTCATTCCCAACCTTCTTTTATTCAGTGAAACACAAAAGAAGATACTTTGAACTGTTTTTGATCATACAATGTAAATCAATGGGGTCCAAAATCCCACTGGACTCTGATAATATATATATATATATACTAAAAAAACTTTTCAATAAATTTTTCACAGAAGAAATAGTCAGAAGCATGGACAACAAGAGGATAATATGATACAGAATTTTCTTTTTTTAGGTGAACTATTCCTTTAAATAACACATGAAATATGTGAGTAAAAGGCGTCAATTTGAAATTGCCAAAGGGTCTTTTCTAGAAGTGTTCTAGACGTGTCAATGGCCTCTTCCATAGAAAATTAGGCCAGTGCAGTCTTTGTATGAAACAACTTGTCATTATGCAATTGCATCATAATAAATACCACCATTGTTTGCATAACCCTTCTGGTTAGAGACCGGTACAGAGTGAGATGGAGATACTGGGTCTCTCCCCCCAGAATGTTTGGAATGGCACAGCTCAGGTCAACAGCTCAGTAGGACTGTCTCTCCAGGGGGCTACACTGTTTGGTCTCTCCTCTGGTTGAACCGGACACACTACGGCTCCCTGGCCCCGTCTCTTCACCCTCGCTCAGGTGTTTTTGTTTAATCTCAGACCTTTAACTCCCTGTAGCTTAATCTGATTGGAGGGTATCTGTTTTGTCCGAGCAGGGGTGCTCTGTGTTTGCAGACGGGGTTTCAAGGAGCCGAAAGCCAAGATCAGAGGGCAGCATATAGTGAGAAAATGAGATCCGGGATTTGTGGTGTGAGATCACTATCACGTTCTTGTCAGTGATGAGGAAGATTATTGATGACTTCTCTCTGCCTGAGATATGCATTACTGCAGTTATAATGCTATGTAAATTATGATCAGAGAAAAAAAAAAACAGACATTCCCCAATCCCCTTTTAATCAAATTAATTGCATCATAAAATTCTAAATGATTCAGCCAAAACCGGTCCTCTAATTAGTTTTGGCTTGACACATCTCATGCATCACTGAAAAATGTGTAATGCAGGTACATTAGTGAAGGCTGGCATTGTTTTTATGGTGCAATATGCCATGTGTTCTGCCTCATGTTATGCTAGTAGCTCAGCCGGGGTGCAGAGGTCAAACTCCTAGAAAGGCCAGAGCCACAGAATGTTTCTTTGACTTTCTAGTACGCTGGTTTAGTTCCATTCAGCGACAATGTAATCCAATTCAATGAATGGTAATCAATTAAGGAAAAAACGCTTCTTGACATTTCTAAATAAATTACTTATGAGACAAAGCATTCACTTTTTAAATCTAAAACTGACAAACTAAGAGGACAGGCTGAAGATTATAATGCAAATCTTCATTTAAACAGGTTTAAAGTAAATTTGTGGTCCAAGTGTGATTTTAATTCATGATTTTTGAAAAGGGATTTGGAAAACATCAACAAATCACACAAGCACATACACGTTTGTTACAGGGTTAACATGAAATTTCAATCAGTTTCAACATGTTTTGAGGTGTGATGCTATAATTAAAACTAAAACTATTTTTTAAAAATATTTATATTAATTTTTAATTCATTTATCACATAGGAGCATTTTAAGTGAAATAGTAAGGGGAAAATTGTAATTAAAAATGATTTTTTTTTTTTTTTTTATGGTGACCAGTATCTGGATCTAAGATACACTCTTTCCATTAGATTTCCAAATGTTTATGTTAAATGAAAAAAAAAAGTTAATGCACATGCTTGATGTACCCCAAAATACTCCTAATAAAGCACTTAAAAGGGTTTGAGTTGGTGAACCACCGGAACCACCAATTGACTCCCTGTGTGTTCACATTGATGACGTCTGCAATTGATTAACAGACCTTGATGATTTGCCATGGTTATTCTGCATTATCAGTCCTCAGTTTCCCCCTGAAATTTGTCTCCATGACCATAAAGTTGTAAGAAACCATGGGGATCCAGCAGGTTGTGGGAAAAATCGCACCTTCTGTGCAGCTTGTGATGCCATGCAAATGAAGAGCAATTCCACTGAGAAAGAGGGGACGCAAAACTGCTTTCATCCATTTTATTGAGCTGCAACCGTCATCCTTAACCCCTGATAAACAAACAGGGCTACCTTCTTAATTTGCTTAGGGAGCAATTTAGACTTGTACAAGCCCCCCTGCTGAACTGGCAGAATGGCAGGGGTGAAAGAATGGGATGACCCAGACCTCTAAGCTGCCTTTACTTCACATTCTGCCTAACCCTGGTCATAAAACCCTTCCTGCAAATTGGAGCTCAATGGAGGAAACATGGGTTGAAATGATGGAGATAAGTCCACCTCGAGTGCTCTTTCTAGCACCCATATAGTGTTCACAATGACTAAGCCATTAAAAGTCTAAATCTGCTGAATAATTTACAACCTGATCCACAGGAAAGAGTACTGGGTCAGTACTGAAGAAAATATGCATGAGATAAAAAATAGCAAAAGTATTCAAGCGCACAAGCCAACAGCCAATCACAAAGTTATAATTGACATGCAAACACTGTTCAAAGAGAAGATGGGACACGACAGTTTGACTGTTTGTATACGGGACATATGGAAAAACTGTTGACTTTTCCAATTGGAGCTGTAATCTTTTGTTTGCCCATGCATTTCTAAGGCTGATTGTCTGAATGATCTGAACAATTACAGGCTAAATGTGTTTGCCAGCCACACAGAGCACCCTGCACCCCTCTTAAAAGATCAAAAGGGAAGATTCCCCCTCCTTCTTCATCTCCTTTCAGTCATGACAATTCAGCTGGAAAGCCAACCATAAATTAATTTTGTTGTTGTTTTAAATTAGAATTTCCAGTATCTGGGACACAATTATCCAATTCAGGGGTTAATTAATTGAGGAACGCCATGTTTCATCTACAGGAACTGTTCACCCAAATATGAAAATGATGTCATTATTTTTTACTTTTATGTGTTACATTATTTTTAAGTATCTAAAAGAGAGAGAGAGAAAAAATCATTACAGGAGTCCACCGGACTAGTACACCATATTCCAAGTCTCCTGAAGTCCCATATGATAGCTTTGAATTAGAAACAGACAGAAATGTAAGTCATTATTAACTGATACTCTTCTCCTCCAGTGATCTGTTAACTTAAGAAACGCTGTGACTGAATCATTTAGTCAGTGAGTTGAACTCAAGAACCGGATCAGTCCAAGTTGTGAATGAATCACTCAGAATCGCTGATTCATTGAAAAGATCCGATTCAAAATGCTATCTCTCTCTCTTCTTATAGAGGAGTCTTGAGTGTTGGGATGGAAAGAATTGTAATTTATGAGTGAATCCCTTTAAGCCGGCATGATATGAACTATTGTTTAAAAGGATTTGAAAGAAATTAATCTTCTTTATAATTTTCTATTTCAAATAAATGCTGTTCTTTTGAACTTTTTATTCATAATAGATCACAGTTTCCACAATAATATTAAGCAGCACAACTGTTAATATTAATAAGAAATGTTCCTTGAGCACCAAATCTGCATATCTGAAGAATCATGTGACACTGAAGACTGGAGTAATGGATGCTGAAAATCCAGCTTTGCAATAACTTACAATAAATAATTACGTAACAATAAATTACATTTTAAAATGTATACAAATAGAAACAGTTATTTTAAATTGTAATAATATTTCACAATATTAATATTTTTACTGTATTTTTGATCAAATAAATGCAGCCTTGGTAAGCAGACGTCTTTCCAAAAATATCGCAGGCTTCAAACTTTTGAATGGTTCAGACCACAATACCTAAAGCAATAACTTTACAATGACAAACTATCAGGTCCACTGGATTCCCTAAACAACAATAAAAATGGTAATTCCTTCATTTCCATTTACTTCCTTATGTTTTAAACAGCTTAACAATACACAAACAATATTTGTCACCAGTGTCTTGTGAAACGTAAGTGTTGGGAGTAACGCATTACAAGTAACGTGAGTACAAGTAAGTAACAAGTAAAGGAATGCATTGCTTTTAAATTTCAACAAAATATCTGAGTTCTCTTACGAGAGGTTCTCTCGTACTGCGTAATATCTTACGCTAGGGAAAAACCTCTTTTCCACGAGATATTGAAGCCAAACAATTATCCTTAATTTTGAATTAATGTAAAACGTGTTGCGGCAGCATACAGACATAGGCAAAGGCGGCCTGCGTGCCTATTGGCTGTCCTGCGGCAACTGCAGCAGCCTATCGAGAGAGGCTCTTCGGTGACGGTCCAATGGGGGCGCTTCCCGCCCACTGCGTCACCTTCCCGCCAAAGTAGGCGTGACCTAGTCCTATAAATATGGCTCGATGGGCTGATATCACTGATTTTTTATCTCTTCAACGTAGCTCACGCAGCGTTGGATCCGGAGTGAGAAGCCGTGCCGTTGGAAAAAGCCTTTCTGCAGGACGAGCCATTGCATCTGAAGCCGCTGGCCTTCACTTCGCCGCCTTCAGTCGCCGTTCCTGCTACGCTACCCGGCCAACTATATCCTTTACACTCTGCTAAGTGTGTGTTCGCCGCCGCGACTCACCTTTTCTAAAAGAGCTGCGTCTTTTTAACCCTCTAGGCGCCACGGTCGAGTTTACTCGACAAGATGAGGCACTGAATAAAACGGCCGATTTTGTCAAATTGGGTGTCAAATTTCGTTCAACCTCCCCTCCACTGGATGGCAGACATGTCATACTTCATCCCCGAATCAAAAAAACGTCATGTTTCTATACAAAATGTTCGAGTTAGAGCGCATTGAATCAGTGAGATCAAAAGTGGAGCTAGTGTGCGAGTGAGCCATGTTATCAGATCCTCTCCGCAATCGCGGCGACAGTATTGTGGTGGAGACTTTGTCTAATGCCACTGGGTATGTTAGACGAGGTCGAAGTATTCATAGGACAGTTAGGAGGCAATGTGGAGGCAGGGTGGGGA